AGAAAATTAAAGGTACATGGGTATATTCTTTTATTTCTATCGAATATTTCTATTATTCTGGTTTTTCTTGTATTACCCTGTCAAAACATAAAATTAAGGCAAATATCTTTTGTTACATTAAAAACAATACATGATCAACTTAAACGTAATTTTCCTTATATGTAATTTAGCTGATGATTTATCTATAGCTGATTTATATAGTTTTTTAATTAAATTTTCTGAACTTTCATTTTTAAAATCCGACATTACTTATTTAAAAGTATTTACATACGTATAAAAAACGAGACATTTAGCCAAGGGGGAAAAAGCGGACTCCTGGACTCTCACGGACTCCTGAAGTCCAGGAGTCCAGGAGTCCATAGGAGTCCATAGGAGTCCGCTTTTTCCTCCTTGGCTACAAGAAAAACCAGAATAATAGAAATATTCGATAGAAATAAAAGAATATACCCATGTACCTTTAATTTTCTCAATGACATTACACGACAAATAATGTATTTTGTGTTGTGCCGCTTTGTAGAAAAGACAGTCACACTTATGTCCCCCTTTTCCAAAAATCTGTCCCGCGTTACCTTTTTTTAGTTGGCGTCCCTTAAAGGCAGATATATCTGTCATACAGATTGTATCTCACATAAGAAAAAGCACTAAACGTACCTTTTTTTTATTTGGCATCCCTGGTGCTGAGACAAATATACATGTGATCGAAGTGAATACGCTTGACTTGAATACCGTAGTAGGTATTTTGTTTTGTAAATGTGATGCCGGGTGTAACGATATTATGACATCACTTCTCGGATAATGCCAAGCTTAGTAGCATTTCATTATTCTCTCAGAGAGAAAGTGTAAACTCTTTTCCGTATAAAGTTTCACAAAATCTTAATAAAGCCTCTGGATTTCGTTTGATTTTCGCTTTCTTTTAGAAAGATATAAAATGGGTTTTATCATAAACATGCTGCTATTGTCGATATTATTGTCTAAAGACGCGTTATCGTACACGAAAGTAACCAACGATTATGATTTGTATGGAATTAAAATAGGTCTCAACGATCTATTCGAAATCTCCGCCGACAATCTTTACTTAGATTGGTATATCATCTCATTCACGCCCGATGACCCGATTATTTGCATCATTTATTATAATTCGACAACTTGTGATTTTGTCTACAGTGTCACTGTTCCGATTATCAATAGCGCATCATTCGTCTACAATTGTATTGATCAAAACGGAAATAATGTTATTGGCTACTTCGCTGCTAATACGACATGTAATTTTCAGTTAATCAATGAACAAATCATTTCAAACTACTCGACACAGGATAATTTTATCGTTACTATCGATGGAAATGGTACTGGTGTTTATGGATTTGCTGACGATTTCATATTTTTCTACAATTTACAATCGCCATATTCGTTGACAGTGTGGCCAAATACTCTGAATATTTCACCTCGAGCAGTCGATATTGGTTCCAGTGTTGAATATGCTATTCTAGTCGGATATTGTCAATCAAACCCTTCATCAGCAGTTCAATGTGGTTTTATTTTAACTTTGAATAGATCGCTTCTGTGTCCAAATATAAGGAACAATATTTTATTAGAAACTGCTTTGAAATTTAACTGGTCCGATCCACGTAATACTTATCATCTTACACAAAGTCGCGTTTACTCTGCAAATGAAATTATATCGGTGAGCATTACTTGGCGTACTCGATATATATTAATTGGTGTTCCATCACTGAATATTGTTCTATTGTATTCATTTGACAATATATCGGGACCCATAAGCGTTCGTCAAAATGGAATTGGAATGAGTGGATTCGGAAAGAGTGTCGCATGGTTGGATGATCAAGGCACAAAGGCAGTCATTCTTGCCAATAATTATTTGTATTCGACTAATCAGTGGGTATCATCACAAGTATTTATCTATGATATTCAATCTGACGGATTTACAGATGAAACACAACCGATTCTCATCTATCCGAATAGTGAACAAACTAAATTTCAATGGATGAGTGCTGTGTTCATTCGACTTGCATGTTCAAAGTCTGGTCATTTAAGTATTTTGGATAATTTGGGAAATGAAGCTACTCTACTTTCTGCACCCGCAGGCATGTATCCATATACGAAGAATAGTACTGAGGTGTCAACCTCTATACCTTGCATTCGTGGTACTTATCGAAATTATTCTGGAATCGAATTATGTTTTCCATGTCTGAATGGGACCTTCTCAACTGATTGTCAACCATGCATATCAAATGATTCATTCTGTCCAATCGGAAGTATTCAAAATCTTTCTTATTCTGTAATTAAATCAATCGAACAAGATCAAGAATATCCGGAATCTCCTGAAAATACAGTTTTTGATGATTTACTTATGCAGAATATATTTAGTATAAATACAAAATCGGGTCATTGTGTGCGCGTTTCCCCTATAACATGGGTTCTCGTTGTTATGGCAACGGGAGTCATAGTGATCATTGCGATCGTTATTTACGAATATCATGAGTCGAATTCACAGGGAAAAGTAAACAAATTCAAGAAAATATTAAAAGGATTAGATATCGTTGGTGAAGGAGAGGTAAGAACCATTTTTCATAGGAAGAATAGAGAAAGTCTGACAATAAAAAGAGTTACTTCTGTCAATATCTAATTCGTCTGTTTCTTGTTTGTTTAGTATTGGATCGGTGGGATTGTTTCAACTGGTATTGTTGTCCTGGTTATTTCCGCCTGTATGTTTTCCAGTTTTTTTTTTCGTCAATACCCAATTGAGAGTATCACGGATGATTCTTCACTTACCTGTGATGTTACTCTTCGCAATGCCAAATTCAGTACAACAATGCAAAAAATGCCTGATTCGCGCCAATCATCAAAGCAAAATGCAATGATGTTTAAATTATTGAATTCCCAACTCTTTGACCTGAAAATCGATTTAATTCAAACAGCATTCACTTGTCAAAATGCTATTATTGTCTATCATCTTTTTAATTACGCTTTTCTTCCGTTAACCATTTCAAAATGCGAAACAACTCATAATGACAGTATTCTTTCATTGACTGTTCCACTTCCAGCACACGAAATTTCCGTTCAGCTCGTTCTTCCGGGATTAAAAACAGTCGGTGCAATTCGTCTTGGATTATATGGACCAGCAGCGGTTACTGATGATCGAAGGTGAGACTGAAAACACAACAATCAAATCAGAAAATTTGACAATAAAAATCAATCTGAAATCATTTCGATTCGATTGAATAAAACAAAAGTATGGGGGCGCATTGGACTATGAGTTGGTCCACTGACGTTTTTCTCGACCTAATGTTCTGGAAAAGGTATAACGGGTGGAGCAAAAGTTTTGCATTAATTTTGTTTTTGATATAACTCTGCGACGCACTGCCGTAAAGACTTGATTTTTTTTGTTAGAAAGAGTAAAGTGCCTAGTGCAAAAATATAAAAAAGAATTTGATTGGGAATGTTTTTTGAGGACTACAAGAATCTTAGAACAAAAGCCATTGGAAAACTATTCCGCAACTTCTTTTAACTTAGAAAAGATTTTCTATAATGAAACAGGTCAACTTTTTATTAGTCTAATCCAGATTTTATTATATAAGAATATAGCAGGATTGCTGTACAAGAAAAAGAAATTTTCTATATTTTATAATGGCCGAAATAAACACTTTTGATCGTGTGAGTCGCCGATTTTTCATCACTCTTGATATCTGCAGAAAAATTAAACTTTACTCTGAAAGAGAAGTTGCCAGAAGCTACATATTTTATATGAAAAAGAAAGCTTATTGAGTCCTCTACCAAACGATATTATTTGAAATAGGACACAACTGCTCTGTGAGATAGTCAGACAGAAATTTGTTTTCGCATTGAAAACCAGGTTCGAACAATTAATTTTTCTTAAGAAATTGCTTCTGTTTATTCTCTTGTATGCAATATCAATTATTTTAATACAAAATGAAATTTTTCGGTGTAATGAACAATTGCATATATATGATACCCGAAAGCGTCAAAAGTGGGTAATGAAAAAGATCAAACAAATATTTTTGGATAAAAAAAATGTGACCAAAGTTGTGAAATAGTTTTTCAATGTCTTTGTTCTAAGATTCTTGTGGTTCTCAAAAAACATTCCCAATCAAATTCTTTCTTATATTTTTGCACTAGATACTTTACTCTTTCTAACAAAAAAAAAATCAAGTTGCTACGGCATTGCGTTGCAGAGTTATATCAAAAACCAAAATTAATGCAAAACTTTTGCTCCACTCTTTAGAATGATAGATCTTGATAAGGCGAATATTCTGGTGCTATTTTGGATGCATTTCAATAACCTGTATCAGACATTTTACCTTTCACTTTGTGTCGTATATCATGCTTTTTTTTACTATCACACACGATTGTATGAAAAAGGATTTCTGGACGTGTTCCATGTTGTCTGCAATTTCAAAATTTTTTCAATATAGTTAAAGGACCAGCAGATTTTCGAAATGGCACCAAACGGTTGAGATAATCTAGCTGTCTAATATGCCTCTAATCCAAAACAGTGACTCTGTTTTAGGTGAAATGCCATCCAATCTGACCAATTTTTAACACTGTTTCAACAATATATCGAGAAAAATAAAATACCACTTCGTGATTTTTTCAGTATAGCTAGACCACAGATAGACCTACAAAATGATATCAACCAATTGAATTGATTAGGCTAGTCATCTGAGAACTGAGAATGTAAAGAAAAGTTTCTACACTATGATATCGAAATACATCCAATATAGGGTTAGAATATTCAGTGCCGAAATCTATCAGTCTATATAGTTTTGAAAACGATTCGTCAATAAAAAGGCAGTGGGCCGATTTGTGGTCTTATGCGCATCCGTCCTTTGACATTTCGATCAGTTTGTAGAGTAATTGAAGAGCTGAAAGATCGAGACCTAGTTGAATTCCACATTGATTTAAGAACCATTTGTGATCATTTTTGAATTATTTTTAAAGATTCACACTGTTGGAACTGAACTTCGCTACGACATTTGTTCCTTCGTCACTGGATCAAGTTCTCGCTCCATCAACTTCTTTCAATATTCAATTAACTCCAATTATCAATCAAACCGATCCGCTGTACAACGATCAATCGTCAACTTACAGTGCGATTTGGTCTTCGTCATTCGATGTGAAAACCGACGAATTATTCCTTAGTCAAACTCGCCACACATTTTTCCAACGAACGGAAACCAATACCACGATATCTGTTGCAAACACACAATTTTATATTAACAATATTCAACAACCGATTGCAAAACAACCAGAAATTATCTTTCGTACACTTTTATTCGCAATTGTTATTTTAGAACTATTTGGTTTAATGTTTCTCATCATGAAATTATTGATTATTCCGTTGTCACGATTGATCATTCGTCGCGTGAAAAAATATTTTGCATCGAAACTAATCCACCCTAAGAACACATCCAATAGTTTATCTCTTGTCATTAATGATCAAACTGAAAAGTCAACGGTGAACGATCAGCATTCCATCGATGATTTCGAATCTCATCAATAAAAATAAATCAGACAAACAAAATTCTTTCGCTTTTTGTTGTCCTGTCATGATTTCCCATTACTGAATGAACAGAAAACAATATATTTTGCCAGATCATTCTAAACGTTCGTTTGGCCAACTCAAATCGTTGAGATTTTAAAATCTGTCGATATTCTCACAACAGGAATATTTAATTCACCGATATCAGAAACAAAATCATAGCTGTATTCGATTAATCCGTAACATATGTAAAGAATGTTCGACAGAGCACATATGTATAGAGTGTTTGAAATAAAATATGTATTCTCTTTATTTAAATGTGGATAGAACAATACCAAAAAGAATACAATTCAATTCAAACTTAGTAAAGAAAATAAAAACAATACGAGATAAGTTACTTATTCTAATATTCGTGCAGCTGCTGCTGACTATACATCTAGAAATTTATTTAACGTCGACATTTATGTATAGTATAGCTAGTAACATGTGAGTGATCACTTGTAAAAACTATTTAAATATATACATAAGTGTACGACCTTCATACGAATGTATCATCATAACTCGTAGTTTCCTTTTGCACAATTTAGTACAATGGGAAAATGCGTAGTTGGAGAAGTACAGAATGTGAAAGGTCGGAAGATCGAATCCAGGAGAAAAACACCCAAAAACCTGTTCTAATACAAACGAATTTACATTAAGTAATACTGCAAATGAAATGTGTTGTTTAAATGTATAGCATCGAGTTATAACAAGAAAACAACAGCGCAGACGAAAGTTAATATCCTCGTTATTAAACTCTTTTAATAGAGAATTAAGTAAGGCTGCAGAGAAATCCATAACGATAAATGATGGACGAACGAATTTTTGATTGACAATAATAATACATTTTCTAATTGTAGAAAAATAAAATGAAATGCTAATTACTGAATGATTGGCTAAGAATGCTCCACTGTATGGAATTAAACATGAATGAGCATCACCATGTTTAAAGGTCATTGCATAATAATAAGATTGTTTTTGATCGGTTAACTTTTTAATAATAGAGCCGATAGCGTCAATGTGTGAAACAGAATAATTTACTGTCCGACAATATTAAATGCAACGCTCTATCTGCATTTCGTTAATAAAGTGAACATGAAATGGATATTCGTCCGTTGTTTGTATGCAACCTAGAACAGATGTGTCGATTTTTGGTATGTGTATGCGGTTTTTGCATCCTGAAATAAGTCAGTTCCCTCGCAATGCTTTGGCGCTAAAGGTTTATCATTTTAGTAAAAAAAGGGAATGACTCTTGTCGAAAACTGCGGTTCAGCGGGGTAATGCAGCCGTCTGGGAAATTATCAGACGTATTTACAGATCAGAATTTTTGAATGTGTATCAGATGCACAGTAGGCATCTAGGCGGACATTAGGTGAAAAATCGAAGTTGCTCCTTTTTCAAAAACAAATAGTATAGAATGTAGCCCTTGAAAAGGGCTATCGAATGGTGTATAAATGTCTATTGTGATGTTCACTCCTTCGCAGAGAAAAACGGGTACAAAACAGTACTGTGTTATACTACTTTTAGCGACATCTTGAGA